ACTGGAGATATGCGACTCCAACGACATCTATGGACAAAATACGAAAAGACTTTTTCGACTACCCAATATTACCATAGCGTTCAAGTGTTCTTTGGGAACTTGAATTACAGCCTACGCGTAGGAAATAAATCTCTATTCTATACTAAGTCCAGTGGGAATTCGTAAAATGTCAGAGATCTGCTATATTTGTATTTTTCAAGTCGACTCTACATACGTTTACTAAAAAACCGAATGTCTGATTGAATATGCTCAAGCTGCACTATATGAATGATAGTAAACCCTCTCCTGTCAAGCTAGTATCATCTGCACCATAATTGTTGAAAAAAAATTCACAAATAATGGACTGCATGGAAGTGAGCGTAGATCTTTCATGTGCTTCAGTATAAGCGGTCAAACATTATCCAAATGGCGCATGATAAAGTGGAGCTTTTTGTATCACTGCGCCCTTCCTTTAAAAAATGTAGACAAAGGATATGCATTTATTCAAAATTAAAATTTAAATATTTCTTAGCATTCCGTTATAATTTTGACTGGAGAAATGCATCTAACGAAGCAAAATTTCTGAATACGTACAAGAGCAGACAACATTGGCTGCTCTTGTACGAACTCAGAAAACACGGAAAGCGAGAGAAATGACAGATAAGTATATGATCTGGAGGGCCTCATGGTTATCCTTTACGACCGAGCATAGAGTGAATCAGAAGAAAAAGAACGATTCTGTTTGGACGGTATCCACAAATTAACTCAACAGTGAATAAATAGTGGCGTAAAACTCATTCCTTTTCAGTATTGCACCATCTCCAATTTGGTCGTCATGTCTGCTGTGAAAAGATTCATCACATCAATTTTTTGCCGAGAAGGTCTAAAGAGTTTTTGATTTCACTGCTGCAAAGAGAGGGATGGGAATTCACTGGAAAAAATACTACGTACAGCCGAAAAGAAAGAGCATACACTTTATTGATCAAATGTCGCCTCTGCAAGAAAATAAAGTGAATTACGTCTTCATGATACTCTTTTTGTTCCATCTTTGTTTGAGTAAGATTAATTACATGAACGAAATATTTATTTAAATACATAAATAGATAAGTGCTGATATACAGATATGCTTGGAAATAAGCGTTTTGGGTGTCCGCTTACTTGCCAGTAGCGTAGCCGCCTCCAGATGAAGTAGGGTAACCACCAGATGCTGAAAATAGAGGTTATGTACTTGGCTTCATCAATAGATGGCAATTCAATAGTAACTATCTTACGGGCAGATGGGTAAGATGGTGGTGGAGGAACTGGGTAAGCTGGTGGTGGAGCAACTGGGTAGGATCCACCGGATGAGCCTCCACCGCATCCACCGCTGCTACCTCCATTACCGCAAGATGATGTAGGTGGAGGGCAACATGGAGCTGGTGCTGGAGCAGGTGCTGGGCAACAGGGAGCGGGCGCTGGGCAGCAAGATGCTGCTGGAGCGGGAGCAGGGCTGCCAATTTAAAGGGTTACGATTTTCTAGGATTATCCGAAATTGGAATACTTACCAGCAACTGCTTGATCCTCCTCCAAGCAAACCAAAACCGAATGCATCGGATGCAGCAAATACGGCGAATGCGACAACAGCGTATGTGAACATGCTAAAATATGGGTAAAAAATAGATGAAGAAAATTTCGATATGGGAAAATTA